TACGGATGAGTTGGATGCTAGGATTTGTGAGATCCTGCATGATGAGGTTGCAGCTATGTTCCGGGATGAGTTGTTGGGGATGTTTGGGTCGATCAAGACCGCCATGGTTGAGTACTTTGATGAGCACTATGCAGCTCTCACAGAGGCGGATGTAATAGCGGCAGAGGGAGGAGCCGATCGAGGTTTTCAGTATTGGGACTTTGATAATACGAAGCCCCTACTTTCGATGGAGTTCAGGATCCGATGATTGCTATGAGGTGGTTGTCAGACGTGGAGGGTTGTTTCTTCACGTGTTCATGCCCTACGAATCAGAGGGTGAGATGTGCTCTGAACCTTTTGAGGCTTGGGTGAAGGATTGGTGGAGGTTGACTACGTGATCTTATTCAGATGTGCAGTGGGCTGCGGTTACTTGGGATCAGTTTCAAGAGATGTTCAGCACTCGTTATGTTCGACGGGTTGAGAGAGAGGTTGGATCAGGAGTTCCTGGAGCTGAAGCAGGATTCAAAGTCGGTGACGGAGATCACCAGGATATTCACTGAGAGGGTGATGTTTTGCCTGGAGTTTGCTTCGGAGCAGGCTCAGATGTCCCGATATCTGAGTATTCTCAAAAAGGACATCAAGCAGTTTGTGTCCACATAGAGGTGTGATACTTTGTTAGAGCTGCAGGAGGCCGCCAGGCGGCGGGAGTTAAAAATGGACATGTAGTTGCGAGAGTAGAGGTAGGCCACAGTGCAGTCGCAGCCGGTGCCAAAACGGTCCAAAACCGTTAACTCTAGGGTTGGAGGTCAGAGCAGCCACACTTGTGAGAAATGTGGAAAGGGGCACGCCAGAGTTTGTAGGTCCGGTGGCGCGTATCGCAAGTGTGGGAAAGAAGGGCACTATGCGAGGGATTGCCTTCAGTTAGTCCCGGCTCAAGATTTCAGGATCTGTTATCACTGTCATCAGGTTCGACACTTGAGGGTCAACTGTCCACAGCTTGTTGCAATACCTTTATCGCCTGGGGCATGTAAAATCTTTGGACCGACCCTGTTCATCTCGTATTCCCAGTAGTCCTCATAGAACCTTTGCAACTTAGGTAACATGGTTGCAACCATGAAGCAAGCAACCTTTTTTGCGTCATCATAATGTTTATTTTAAGATACAATCTCTTTAGGAGTAGCAATGGCCTCATCGATTTCATTAAGTTGTTTCTCAAGGACATACTCTTTGCCCTCGAATCGAGGATCTATCTTGATGTTACGCATCCAATCATTGTAGTTGGTTCCATCCATTGTCACCTTGGAGACAATCGAAAGTAGTGAGAAGTTCGAGTTACAGGTGGAGGTTTGAGAAGTAGAAGCATCAGCAGAAGTAGACATCAATAAAGAAAAAGGCAGTTTTAGTTTGATGGCAATAATCCTTAATATTTTAACCCTTAATTAATATTCAATGCTAGGATCTAACATAAGAATTCACAACTAAGAAGAGGGATGTTGTAATTTTATCATGAATTTGTGAAGGTAGGTAAAATAATTCACCGGTTTCAAATTATGAAATTCCTAAATCTATTAAGATTCATTGAATCTTATCAATAACATGTTTAATCTTAGATTATGCTCTTCTATATGTGACTGGGATGTCGAGGATCACAAACATGATTTGAATACCCATGAAAATATGCTTGGCAACCTTGATGTCATTATCATCTCTAATTAAATTGATGGCTAACCACATGAGCTCCATTAACAATGATAACTTTTGAGATGCCCACTATTACTCTTTATAGTAACTACTAGTGTGTTGGTTAACCACACACGCTCCATTAACTACATATAAAGAATGATGTGTAATTTCATGGATTAACATACTTTTCACATTTTTCTTATGTAACTACATATAAACACGTTTGGCTAACGACCCTCCCCCATACAAGGAGTTGTGGGTGAGAATAGACATCCAATTATGATCATTTTATAGGTCGTTTCCTTAAACTCCTCTGATAGTATGGCATCGTGAATGATGCCTACAATTGATTTGACTGACTTTATCTTATACATATAGTAATTAACCTTTAATAATACATATATACGATGTATTTTAAAACTTTTCTAAAATACTAGTTTTAATATTAAATTTTCAAAAATTAATAAAAAGTAATTTAATTTAAAATTAAACCAATTATGATCTAATATGTAACTTTTAATTAACTATTAATTAAATTAATTTAAATCAGATGATGATTAAATAAGTATCTACTATTATACTATTAATCAAATAATTTGAATTTAATACTAATTCATACCCTAATAGATTTTCGAAAATTAAGGGTATTGGGATTATACAACTTGAATTATTCTATTTTAACCAATTAAAAAAATAATATCAATTAAGAAAACCCTAACAACCATAGTGATTTTCGAACTCAAGGGAGGAGGCTAGGGTTTCAAGAACCCTAGCCCAAGTTAAAAATTCCAAGCTTTAGGGTTTAATTTCTATAAACCTTAATTTGATCTATTCACTATTATGCATATTCAATTGAAAACATTTGGGCTTTGATACCACTGTTAAGTTTTATTAGATTACAAAAAGAATTCAAATTCATGTGGCAGAAAATAACTTAACACTTAAGTTCACATGCAACCTAATTGGATGTTTGTTTTCACTATTGAATGCTATAAACTATGAGCATCAAAGAACCCTATAGAAACCCAAGTATTTTAGAAAATAATAAAAGGGTTAGGGGGTGTTTGTTTGGCAGCAATGGAATGGAATTTTAGGGAAATGGATTCCCATTCCCTCAAATTCCTGTGTTTGGTTTAGCTTTAAGGGAATGAAAAGGAATGGTAAATGAATTATTTTCCGTTTAAATGAAGGAAAGTCCATTCCTTCACAATCTCAAAGGAATTAATGCCTTCACAACATGGAAAGCAAAAGACTATGATTTTACCCCTGCTAAACATTACCATACCCTTCATCAATTAACCTAGTTCGTTCATCCCATTCTCAGCCGACATCCCATCTTCACGTCTTCTCCTCATTATAACAAGGATCGGCCAATGACTTTCATTCTAGGTGATCTCTCCTTCTCCCTCTCTCTCTTTCTCTTTCTCTCTCTCCCTCTCTCTCTCGCTTCACATTCGAACAAAACAACAATGTGAAGCATGTCTTGGTCGATTCATGGTTTCAAGCTATTTGATTTCTGAATTCAATCGAATCGATTTCTTATGTACTTTTTTTGAATTTCTGAATTGGTCTACAACAACCGTTAGCTAATCGATTTCTTCACATTCTCTCCATCTTTTCTAATTTTATGATTTTCTAAATTCTCTTTCTTTTCACGATTTTAGAAAACCGAAACTATGCTCTTTCCCTGCTTGATTTTATTTCGTTTGTATGTAATAGAACTAGGAAGTTAATCAGGTTATTTGGTTTAATTTTTTTATGGAGCTGTGTAATTCCATGTACAACTACAGGAACTGAACAGAGAAAACATGTCTTGGTTTCTTGCTAAATCGATAGAACAGAACACATGTTGTGGTTTTGTTGTTTTGGTATCAATATATTCCGTTTGCTTTTTTCCATCAATGGAATATGTATACTGTTTTTCTGTTTTACAGGAAAATGTCTCGACTTAGTTTACAACACGCAATCGTAGACAAAGGCAAACTTCATTGATTTTAACATGGTGGAATGTGGTTTTACACATTGTTGTAGTCCTTTTGTTAATGATATTCAAAAAGCATAAGGATAAACGACATATTAATCATCTTTCTTCAAATGTAGATCGATACCCAATACTACATATATACGTTTATGAGAGTGACACCATGTCTATATCACAAATTAGGATGTCTCGAATGTGTTGCTTGAAACATTAGGCGGCCTAAAACCAAGTAGGAATATGGAGATTGATGAACAAGTTGCTATTTTTCTGCATATTCTTGCTCATAATGTTGAGAATCGTGTTATAATATGTCAGTTTCGTCGCTCGGGAGAAACAATTAGTAGGCATTTTATTCGAGTTTGTAATGCAGTCATACGATTGCATACTCATTTGGTTAAGAAACTCGAACATGTTCCCGATAACTCTACTTATCAAAGATGGAAGTGGTTTAAGAATTGTTTAGGAGCTTTAGATGGAACATATATATAAAGTGTCTAGTTCTAGTCGAAGATCAGCCTGGATATAGAACAAGAAAGAATGACATTGCAACAAACGTTCTAGGGGTTTGTTCCCAAGATATACAGTTTATATATGTGTTAACTAGATGGGAGGGGTCGGCTACGGATGGTAGAGTTCTTCGTGATGCTCTTCTTAGACCACATGGATTTAAAGTTACAAGGCCGGGTATGTTCTTTTTTTAAGTATACATCTTATTTATAAAATTTTATTAATAAGTTATTAACTACAATTCTTATCTATAGGTTATTATTTGGTTCATGTTGTATACACAAATAGAGAGGATTTTCTAGCGCCTTATAGAGGACAGAGGTACCACTTAAATGAATGGCGTCATGGATACCAACCAACTACACCAAAGGAATTCTTTAACATGAAACATTCATTGGCAAGAAATGCTATTGAACGATGTTTTGGCCTTTTGAAGGGAAGATGCAAAAATATTAAAGGATAATTCATATTATCCAATTGAAACAAAAAATAAAATCATAATGGCATGTTGTCTTCTACATAACTTCATAAGGCAAGAAATGAGAGTAGATCCATTGGATGAGTGTGATCAGGACGAGGGAATTGAAGATCTTGGACATGAAGATATGGATAATATTAATTCTATCGAGACATCAAATGAATGGACCATATTTAGAGATAACTTAGCCCATAATATGTTTACATCTAGAGGGGCAACCAATTAAAATTTGTATTGTTTGCTTATCGTTATATTGGACAAATTATTGTATTTCTTGGTTGTTGTTGTATTGGAAAATTTGTTATTTTGCTTATCTATTTATGAAAAAAATGTTGTATTGTTTATCTATTGTTGTTCATTATGTTTATAGGTATGACAAGCCAAATTAGAAACTATAGGCCATGGACAAGTAATGAAGAAACGAAGCTAGTTGAGGCATTGGTGAATATGACAAATGTTGGAGGGTTTAAAGCCGATAATGGTTTCAAATCCGGTTATTTGCAACACCTTGAGCAAGCATTGAAACAATCACTTCAAAACTCGGGTCTTTTAGGTAAGCCACATATTGAATCTAAGATAAAAACCATGAAGAAAGATTTGCAATGTGTCTACGATATGGTAAATGGTTCAAACACAAGCGGTTTTGGTTATGACCCCGAAAAGCATTGTGTTACTGCTGAGGATCCGGTCTGGGAGGTGTACCTACAGATACATTTTAATAATTAAGCGACTACATGGAAATATTTTTCTTTTTGTTTTTTTTATATGAATTATAAAGTTGGTAAATAGGTACATAAAGAAGCGACTAGATGGAAACACCAAACATTTCCTTATTATGAAGATCTTTGCATTGTTTTTGGAAAAGACTGAGCTCAAGGAAATAGAGTTAGAGATTTCATGGAGATGGAACAAGAGGTGAACTTAGAAGAAGAAACGTAAGATTCAGATGATGATTTTCTAGATTCAGAGGAAGTTAGTCGTACTACAGTCGTGCAACATGATGAAACTTCACCGAGTGTTCGGTCCAAGAAGGGGAAAAATTGAAGTGACAAGGGGTTTAACAAGGTGGTTGGCTTAATTACAGAAAGTCTTAAAGAAAAAGGACTTGAGTGAAGGTATTAAATTTGACATGAAGATTAACGAGTTAAGTAAGAAGATCCCTCTAGCGATTTTAAAGATGAATTCAATAAGTCAACTTGAAAAGTTCAAAGCTTTGACCAAGATAAGAAGTGATCCAATTAATGTTCAAAAAATTTGGGAAATTAAAGAAGGTGCTATAGAAGCTTGGGTAAAATACATTTTGGAAGGGTAGTATTACCAATTGGGATGTGCATTGGATGTTGATCATTATTTTGCATATGAAAGTTTTAGGCGCCTTTGATTTGGATGTAACGAAATAATTTACGTTAACTTTATTTTTGGTAACAATATTAGGGTATCTAGTGAAGAAGGTGGTAGCTTTTAAGTTATGTTTTTTTGGTAACATTATTGGGACATGTATTTAAAGAATTTTATTAAGTTATGAAGTCATTTGCATGATTTTTACATTATATTGACACAAACACTCAATCAATTAAATTAAGTTTATTATTTTTATAATTTATGTAATGTATCTTTACACATAAATTAAAAAAAGAAAGTAAAATTAAACAATATAGACAAAAAGGGCAATTCTGTCATTTTATATGGATTCCAATTCCAATTACTATGAACCAAACAAAATCTGGAATTAATTCCAATTCCATTTCATGCCAACCAAACAGGACATGGAATTGGATTCAAATTCCTGACCGATTCCTTTTCTAATTCCAAATGCAATTCCTTCAGTAACATTCTGCGAACCAAACAAGCCCTTAGAGTTTACATACCTTTTGATTATTCTGGTAAATAATCAATGAATTCTTTTTTCAAAAGCTCTTGGAAGCAAACACATCATGTCTCTGATGGTTTAGACTCAAACTCTAACAACTTAGAAAACTTGTGGGGAGAGGAAGAGAGTGAATATTTTCGGTTATTCTCTTGAGAGAAGGAGTGGCCGAAAATTGGTACTCTAAGGGTCCTATTTATAGTTGATACGAAAATCTTAGATAACCTTAATTTGAATAAATTACTATTATTTCAAATTAGGTAATTATCTAATCTCTTAATTATCTCCAAGGGATATTCTAGAAACTCTAGAATATGCCTCGAAAATCGTCCACCACATTAGGGAAGGTTCTAGAACCCTTTTGTTCAACTATTGAACAATTACAACTTAGGTCATTGCACTTTTAATTAATCCAATTAATGTCAAAGTTAATTCTAATTAATTTTTAATTAAAGAATATTATTTCTAATTAATATATTATTCTCATAATATATTAATAATTCATTTATTTCTTTTTATTAATCATATAATAAATCAATAAATCAATCTCTCTTTCCAAAAGCTATCTTATTCAATTATTATCTTTGAGGGCAACTCAAAAGAATTTCGCTAGTAATTCAAGTATATATCAATTTAGCTATTGGCTTAGACATCTAATCCAATAGAAGTTTGGGTTGATGTGAGAAAATACAGAAGACTTGTATGGAGGCTATTGTATTTACAGGCAACTAGGCCCAACATCACTTACACGATTAATGTTTTAAGTTAGTTCATTGCAGATCCTCAAGAACATCACATGGCATCTGCTATGAGTGTGCTAAGGTACCTAAGGCAACCTCGGGCCAAGGAATACTACATCCAAAAGAAGGTGGAACGAATCTAATAGCTTACATAGATTCTGATTGGCTTGGATGTCCTGAAACTAGAAGATCAAGGAGTGGTTACCTGTTGCTTGGGCGTCGATATCATGGAAATCTAAGAAACAATTAGTAATGTCACATTCCTCAGCTGGAGCTGAATACCGGGCAATGGCTGCCACCGTTAGTGAATGTGACGACCAAAATTTTCAACACAATCTAAACTTTTCAAAAACAACTCATTTTAATAACGTTATTACAAAAAGGTTTTCAATACATTTATTATCAGAGTATTCCTAGAATCATGCCATAAACATAAACATAAGGAGCGGTACGATCACGCCTTCACCTTACCACGGTCTCCTGAAGAACCTGAAAAACATTTAAACCACAACTATAAGCCCGAAAGCTTAGTGAGATACCCCCAAAATACCAACCACATATACGCCCTTCCAGGCTACGACCTTCCGGCCCATAACATATTGCCTTCCGGCCCATAACATAAATAGCATACATAACATAACATAACATAGAACATCCATGCATATCGGGTCTACTGTGTGTAACGCCCGTAGATCCGGGCAAGTCAATTTAGAGGCAATATGGGTCGAAAACGACTTTTTGGCAAAAGATTATTTAGAATAAATAATTTTAACCAAGTTATAGTATATGTCACAAGGTTTCCGTACATATAAAGAACGCCGAAATCTGAGTTATAACGAAGAAGTTATGGCCCGTCGAAGTTTTACGGCAAAACCGGCACGGCACCGGGAAGCGTAAAAAGTGAATTTATGATAGAAGACTTTTTAGCCTTAGTTATCTAAACCAAAGTCGTATAGTATGTTAAAATGAGAAAATCCGTAAAAAGAACGCCCAAATCTGACTTCGTATGAGGAAGTTATGATTTTTCAAAGTTTCAGCTTAGTAGTGTACAACCCGAAACTCGAATTTTAGTTCGAGCGGTTTTTGGCTTAAGCGACCTAAATGAGAGTTAAAGATCTCAATAATAGGAACTCAACAGTAAAAAGATGGACGAAAACGGAGTTCGTATGAAAGAGTTACGAATTCTTCGGGGTCATTTAACAGTCTAAACGCCTCATACTGTTAAATTTATGATCGGTCGAGAATTAGCTGACGGAGCAAAAATGAAAGTTGTAGATATTATTTTTACCTACATATGGATATAAAGAACGTCGAAAACGGAGATAGTATGAGATAGATATAGACGAAGCTTAGTCGCTACTTTTCGAGCGCGGCGAATTCGATACAGTTTTGTAAATCCGAAATAGAATGAGAATTAGCCAACGAGGTCTAAATGAGAGTTGAAGATCTAATTAATAGGAACTCAACGGTAAAAAGACAGACAAAAATGGAGCTCGTATGCGAAAGTTATGGACGAAGCTTAGTCCGTACTTTTCGAGCGCGGCGAATTCGATACAGTTTTGTAAATCCGAGATAGAATGAGAATTAGCTAACAAGGTCTAAACGAAAGTTGAAGATCTCATTAATAGGATCTCAACGGTAAAAAGACAGACAAAAACGGAGCTCGTATGCAAAAGTTACGGACGAAGCTTAGAGGCTACTTTACTATAAAACTCCTATAAATACAAGGGTGAACTCCTCATATTTTCTTCACACCATAAGCATCTCTTTCTCTCTCTAACTTCTCTCTAGCCTCCGTAAACCCCTCCCAAGTCTACGGAACCTCCCTATCACGAGAAGAAAGCCCCAGAGCGCCCGACGGCTCCGAGAAGAAAAGCTTTCGGCTCGGAAACGCTGCTCCAACGAAGCCCTGTTTTTAATAAAAACCCATTGTAAGTGAGTTATGCCTATACTATATTTAATATAGCTTTTATTTAATTATAGTAACATTATTAGGACCTTAAAATAATTATTTGGGCTATTATTATGAGTTATATTGAGTGTTATTTAACGCTTATATAATAGTAATAATAGCTAGACTATTAATTAGTCGTGGTTAACGTTAAAAACTAAACCCTAGTGGTATTGATACTAGGTTTTGTCGAGGAAAATTGTTTTGAGATAACGAAGTGCTGTCTGAGTTCGGAATCACCACCTAATCAGGTGAGTGCATAGTCCCTTTCATCTTACACATAGATATGAAGTATTTAATATAAACTACGTGCTATGTGTGCATATTATCTGAATACTTGCTGTCTATGTTGGATGAACGTTTTATACATGTTTTAAAGGATTTAAACTGTATACGTATTTTATATATACGAATATGTGGGGTATGATGATGGGTAGATAGATGATGAGAGATAGAAGATGACGTGAGTATACATTGGCAGCTATAGACTTAGTGCCTATGGGACAAACACCGGTAGCTATGGACTTAGTACATGTCAGACGTTGGTAGCTATGGATTTAGTACCTGTTAGAAATTGGTAGCTATGGACTTAGTACCTATTAGTTAGACGTTGGTAGCTATGGATTTAGTACCTGTAGGAATTGGTAGCTATGGACTTAGTACCTGTTGAACGCTGGTAGCTATGGATTTAGTACCCGATGAGTAGGATATAGCAGCTATGGAATTAGTGCTTTACGAACTAACATCGGCAGTTATGGATTTAGTGCCAGTCCTATAACCCTGGAAGTAAGGGACTTCAGAATAAACAAATGCATGATAGACGACTCTTAGGTTAAATCCTTAAGAGTAAAGAAGATAACGGGGATGGGTAATGGGGTTAATTGTTTGATGATTAAACATAACAATTATATTATTGTGGGTTGAAAACCCTATGTACTCACCAGGTTTCCCAACCTGACCCACTCAGTTTATGTATATCACAGGTGTTGATATGAAGTCACTTTACACTGAGAGATTTAAAGAGATGTAGATTACTAGTGTAAATAAATGTAAGTTCTGTTTATGCTTATGTTTCTGTATTAACGATGACATCCCAAACGTTTTAAGATGAATAAAAATACGTTTCTTCGAAAATGTTTTAATAACGTATTTATCGTGTTTTTCTGGGAACAAATTCCGCAGCCTTTTTATAAAATGAAGTACTCTGATTTTTATAAAGCATAAACAAAATCGATCTTTTTTGGCCGTGATTTTGGGGATGTCACACTGTGTGACTGGTCCGCCGTATCGGCCTTCAGTCCACCCTCCGTGTCTAGTCATGTCCTTCGAGTCTGCAGTGTGGTTGGTCCGCCCGCACCGGG